TCAAAGCTAAAATACTGTCCAGAACTTTAAAATAAATTCATGCGCGGTTTTACGAAAACAGGTATCATTCACTACTCGGACCATATTTTTGCTTGATTCTAGAACCACATGAAAGATAATATGTAGAAGTACAATTTCAATGAAGACTTCAGGTTCATTTGAGCACATTATCATATCATAAACACACAAAACATTTAAATCTAACTGCAGTCGAATTAAAGAAAAACTGCTCGCGTAGTCAATTTTGTAAAAATCATAACTTATTCATTTTAAGTCGAAATTGCACGATTCCAAAGCTCACGTAAACACAACTGAACGAACTACGTATCATATGAAGAACTCGAAAACCGAAAACACAGTATCAGAGGCCTAAACTGCTCCCGAACAGACAGCACGTAAACAGCAATTACACATGAAATGATACCAATTTTCCGAACTTCTTAACATATCGAAAGCAACATATAATCGATGATTCTAGGCACGTTTATCACACAATAAGACACGATTATGAACACATAAATTAACAACAATAAACCCTATTTACATATCATTAAAACAATCCTTTCGGAAGCCCGGCAAGGCTCCGACCAATTCCAACTCAATAATAACTCGACAATTATTTACTCGGACCTTAAGCAAGCATACGAGATTCGATTATCAAGTCTTACAACATTAATAATTCTTACATAACTTAATCGAATTCAAATTAACAGTCCATAAGAGGTTAAGACGTTAGGGTTTTACCGCTCGGAAAAGGATGACGGTAAGGGTTCGAAAGAAAGCTCGGTGGACTCGGCCGTGTACGTTGAGGGGCTGCTCGATGGTTTCGATGAACGATGGTCGAAGATGGCGATGATGGTTGCTGCTTACGACGGTGGAAGGCTACTGCGGAGGGCCTGCTGCACGGTGGTCGAACGTCGGAGGAGCTGCTGAACGGCAATGGAAGCTCGCTGCGGTGGCGCTGATCGTGACGGAGGGAAACTGCGGTACACGGTGGTGACTTTTTGAAGAGGGTAAAGTCGACAACACCTCACAAAGTCGACTCAATCATAAACATGACTCCACAACGGGAAGTGTACATTAAGAATCTAGCCTCGATATTCCAGAATTGTTCGAAGATCCTCAAGAACATGATGAACACACATGAATCCCAACCCAAAATACCAGGTAATAAAAAAGAGAAGAAAAATTCCAAGAAATATGGTAATAGAAAAACTTACACATATTGGCTGAAATCGGAAGTTCTGAAAGCGCTGGAGAAGTAGCCGGAAGGATGCGCACGCCGGAATTGCTGGATGCTTTATTGCCGGAAGAAAAAAAGAAATATCAAGAATGCTTGAGGTGCAAAAAGTGTGAAGGAAGAAAAGGGGAAAGTATTTATAGAAGAAACCCCGGGACCTTGTCCGTTGGATCAAAGCAAAAATCGATGGCTCAGATGAGGCACGGAATTCGAAGCGACAGGGAAATAATGAGGCGGCGTGTCAAATCCGGATTCAAAAGTCAAAATTCAAAAGGGAATGATGGCATTGGACATTCAGAAAAATCCCAAGTGCAAGATCCAACCATAAGTCGGGTCGAATAAGATCGTCGAATTAGCGAGTAGAAAACAAAGAAGAGACGACTCATCAATAGGGGATATAAGGCCTGACTACCAAATTTATTCTTAAGCTCGAAGTCGCTTAGAGTAATTTTTGGGGGGGACTAGATGATATAGTGTAATATCCCGATATTATATCGGTATAAATTACGTTTTAGTTCCGATATAATATTGGTATCGTTTATTATTGTCGGAATTAATTATGTTCAGTCGAGATTACCGAAATTTATTTTCGACGTACCGTTTACGTTCGGAATAATTTTGGTAATTAAGTATTATGTTTAATTAACAATTAAACATAAAGTTTAGTGATTAATTGTTGATTAATCACCAACAATGTCCAAAGCCGTGAGAGTTAAGGGAAAATACCCTAAATCTTATACTTAGGCGTATATTCCTTAAGTGAAGGAAAGATTTCCTCATGTTTAAGTAAGCAAATTTCTCCCTCAAATTGCTAAGTTACGTGGCTAATTAGGAGGCTACTTAGTCATTCCAACTTATGCTATTATGCAAGCAAATGTCAAGGCCAAAATTGGCCACGTCTCTTGCACACATCACCTCATTTTCCCTCACGGCACCTAGTATATAAGGAGTATTTGAACCCAATTTTCCCCTCAATTTTCCTTAGCATATTCAGAATATAAAGCCTCCTTCAAACAGCAACTTAGTTTAAGCAATTCCCTAAGATTTTCCTCACAAATCACACGGCAAAGCAAGAGCTATCACACGGCAAAGGAAGCACAATCGCACGGCAAGCGCAAGAGCCATCGATCACGCCCCATTTTCGGATTTCCGTCGAGCGATCGGAGAGGTAAATCCTCCTTCAGCTTATATCCTTGTTCATTAAGTCAGGTTAAGTTTTAGGGTTCGGATTATATTTGAGAACTTTTAAGTAAAACCATGCATATAGGCCGATCATGCCAAGTAAGATCATTACCGAGTAATTTTCGATTTTTCCCGGCAACACTTGAACTATTGATGTCTAAATGTTCAGTTTAGTCTATTTTATGTTCAGTATGATCAGATTTGTCGAGGAAAAATGAAGTATTGTCGATGAAATGGCCTCAGCCGTCGCCAACGCCTATCGCGTGGCCTCGGGTGGCCGCGGGACGTGTCATGTTGCCTTCAGTAATAACCATATTTGTTCGTGTGATTATGTCTTAGGTTGCTTCATATTAATGTTCATGATGAGTTGTTCTGTTGTTGCCGTGGAAATAGGTATTGTGGCCGAGAGACGGCGTATAGCCGTCGGCGGCGCACGGCGCGCCCACCACGGTCTAGCCACATTCAACGTGCAGCAGTTTCATGTTCGGGTTCTGAGTGATAAGTATATGCATGTTAAGTCGTGTATCGTCCAGTTATGTTCAGTTAGTCAAAGTATTGGCCGTAGGCCGCACCCTCGCACGTAGCGAGCGCACGCGGATGTGTG